ACATGCTTCTCGATGACGATGTCTTGAATTTTAAATTTCCCTTCGTTTTTGAGAGAGAAAACCGCCAATTCTTTCGCTCGTATATCTTGGAGAACGTTTTGGCATAAGAAAATCATGCCACATTTCATCAATTTAAATGAAAATAATCCATACAGAGAGTGCAAACATTTCAAACTCATGAGTTGAAAAACGCTGACTCGGCGAGTTAAAATGTCTGAGCCAAACACAGTGCGGAGCGGCGTGCTGTCAGCGGGAAGGACTCACTGGCGCCTACAAACCTAAGTGGATACTTCACGCATTGCGCAATGCGTGAAGTATCCCTGTTAGGTTTGTAGGCGCCAATGCGCTGGCCGGCCGCCGCTCGCAAGCAACTATTTGAACTTAATTCTATCAAACGGAACTATGTGCATTATGACGTGAGCCCTGTTATGCTCATATTCTTATGGGTCTCAGGGCTCATGTCTTAATGCACATAGTTCCGTTTGGCAGAAGTACGTCCAAATGGTCACCTTAGCCGTAGCTGCGGAAGAATTATGCGTTTTTAAAGCTTCCTGCTTCAAGAACGATACTATAGCGAAGGTGAAAATTTCGTAAGAAGAGGTGTTCCATCCGGCCCTAGCGTACTAGGGTGCTACATATCATTCAACATGGCTGACGCTTCCACGCGCGGATCGTGAGGAAGCCCCATGGTCATTATGGCCAAAGGAAAATGCAAATATGAACACGCCGCGCCGGTGGATAAAATTTCCGTCTCGTCTTGTGTGTTTTTGCAGGTTGGTGTCGGCCATGTTGAATATTGTGTAGTATCCTAGTGCGAACGGGTTCGATGGAACGACTTCGACGAAATGTGCACCTGTGCTGTAGTGAAGCGGGAAGCTTTAAAAAACACGAAATTCCTACGCAGATTGTGAAGTTAGAGGTGTATTTCAGACTTTTCCGATGCGCTCATCGTGATTTTTAGCCATTTTCTGAAGGAAACAACTTCTCTTCCAGTCGCCCCCCCCCTTTTTCCCAAAAGAGGTTTTTCCAGAGAAATAGGTTCCCTACACTGAGAAAAAAATCCCGTGCGTGGGACCCGAAGTTTAGATCATATGAATCTCTAAAGTTTTTGGATTGAGCATCTGAACACTTTAGGTCTAGTTGTCGAGGTTCAGCTCACACATCTGAAACTTCAGTTCTTACATCTGAAGTATTTCAGATGTGAGAACCGAAGTTTTTCGGATGTGAAAACCGAAATGCTTCAGATGTAAGAACTGAAGTTTCAGATGTGTGATCCAAACCTCAGCAGCTGGACCTAAAGTGTTGAGATGCTCAATCCGAAAACTTCAGAGATCCATTTGACCTAAACTTCGGGTCCCACGCACGAAGTTTTTTCTCCGTGTAGCTGAAGTTTGCAACAGGCCCATTATTTCCCTTCTCCCTTGAAGACCGCGCCAATTTCATCACCGCCAACCATCGGTTCTGTGGTCCTCTAGCCGAGAAATTCATCCATGCGACTTGGTTTAAGAGCAGAAGAGGGGGGGGGGGTTATTTTTTGCCGCCTTCCATTTTGGCTCAGAGGAACGTGTAAATTGCCCCCAAACGAGCTTTTAATGACACGCCGCTTGATTACGCCTGGATGACCGCAACCCGTCGCGGTTGCATTGCGACAAGATGCTCAGTGATAATTAAACCGTGATTCTGGCTCAACGTCAACTCAGACAGGTCGTAATAGCTGCGTTACGATTCGTCTTGTATTGTCACAGAATGGACATAATTTACGCGTCTTAAGGTGATTCGATGGACGTCATATTTTGTGTCAGAACGGCATGCGATGTATCGCATCAATTGGTTCCATTTTTTCAGCTACTCGTCCTTTTTCTCCAATTTTGAGATCGCAATTTTGTTGTCAGGAGACTAAAGCACTCACTTATCAATTTGTACAAACAAATTCAACGTAATGAATGCGTGATTTTCTCTCTAAAAAAACCACGCCGTTATTACGTTGAATATCTTTGTTAAAATTGGTAAGTGAATTCTTTAGTCTCTGGGCAACAAAATTTTGATCTCAAAATTCGAAAAAAATGACGAGTAGCTGAAAAAATGGAACCAATCGATGCGATATATTGCATGGCGTTCTGACACAAAATATGGCGTCCATCGAATCACCTCAACCTGAAATTTCTTACGGTTGCTGAACTCAGCTGGATTATTCGGTTTGTTAAAAAATGAGAGGGAAATCTTCCGGTCCGAATTTTCTGTGACCGAGCGAGTTGTGGTACAAAGGAAGGAAACTTGGTTGAGCAGAACTATAATTGACTCTAAATCCCTTTCCGTCCTTTTCCCTGAGGGTCAGTCCGAGAGAGAGCATATCATCCCGAACTTAATCTCCGCCCCCCCCCCCATTTCGGAATATTACGGACCGGAACGGCTGTCACACAGCCGTGCTAAGTTATTGCGCCGCATGAGGCTTCGGACTTAGTCACATTTTCTTCGGTGAAATACGAACATTTTGGTGAACTTTTGAGTACTTTTGCATCCCATTTTGTCAGAGATTGACTCGCAACCTGATTTAAAGAATCTGGAAAGAAGGGGTGTCGATGAGGGTAGTTTTATAGGCACACATATTTTTACCAAGTAGACAGAGATAATGGTACCAACAGAAACACAAGGGGAAAAATTGGGGAATTAGGATAAAACACAACACTAAAGATCCGAGACGTTCCGACTCAAGACTGAGTCATCTTCAGTCGTAAAATAAATTAAAATTTAAACGATATCGAAGAAAAAACCTGATACATACATGTTGGTGGCGAGATCCATGAAAAACTCAAATATTTTTTAATTTTTAATTTATTTTCCGACTGAAAATGACTCAGTTTTGGGTCAAAACGTCTCGGGTTTTTAATGTTGTATTTTAGCCTTGTTTTCCGTTTTTCTCCCCTTGTTTTTCTCATGAGGGTCGTTTTTTGGGTCCTCCTCGACTTTCAAATGGACGTATTTCAAACTCATGAGTTGAAAAACGCTGACTCGGCGAGTTTAAATATCTGAGCCAAACACAGTGCGGAGCGGCATGCTGTCAGCGGGAAGGACTCACTGGCGCCTACAAACCTAAGTGGATACTTCACGCATTGCGCAATGCGTGAAGTATCCCTGTTGGGTTTGTAGGCGCCAACGCGTTGGCCGGTCGGCCGGCCGCCGGCCGCCGCTCACAAGCAACTATTTGGACGTAATTCTATCAAACGGAACTATGTGCATTATGACGAGAGGCTTGTTATGCATATATTCTTATGGGTCTTAGGGCTCATGTCTTAGTGCACGCACAGTTCCGTTTGCAGAAATACGTCCAAATGATCAAATAATCATAAAGTTGAGGAAATTCAGGGCGGGCCCAAAAACGGGCTTTTGAAAATCCCTCTTTTGAAGAGAAAGAATACCCGTAATTCTGCATGAAATACATATTCTATAGGAGAAATTAGGCACCGTCCGAATTTCCAAACAGCGTCCCCCCTTAGCACGGCAGGGTGGAGACCTTTCCCACAGCACTGTGCGTAAAGTTCAAGCAAATTCGATTACAGACTTTCGCAGATGCGTCTGCTTCGGAGGCAACCTTGTGTCGCCTTTGAAAATTCCTTCCTTGTTTTTCACCCCCTCGGCCTTCCCTCGGCCTCATCTCTGGGCCCCTGCCCGAGAACTGTTGAGGCCAAATTTATTTTTTGCCCTTTTAACCTTTTGCTGCCCTCGGAAAAGGTCCATGCCCCCGACGATAATACTCTGAGGGATGATCTGATCTCCGCTACATCTCCGGAATAAGTGATGGCTCAACCGTTTGGATTAGTTTCCTCGTCGTTTCCCTCACGAAAGAGCGTAACTACATTCCGATGTTGCCAGATTTCCCGTCGGATATTGCATTTTTACCAGAAAAATCTTCGACATCTTTGACGGAAAGTTCCACTAAGTTTTCTCCTGAGCTCGTGTAAAAATTAGCAAAATTTTGGTCAAAACTTACACATGTGCATTGTAAAAAATTGAATTATTTTAGTCAATTTTGCAGCCAATTTAGAGTTACGTATCTTCGTCCGGGAACCGACGTATTTCCTGTTCTCTCACTTGTATCATTTCAGCAGCTATTTGTGCCGCAGGTCAATCGTCAAATCAGGCATTTAGCAAAATACGCAAAGAAGACAGGTAGTCCATTATTATTTCGCGAATTGCAATCCTGAGATTTTTCGAGCAAACGTCTATCATATCACATTATTGCTTCATTATTCATAAAATTTAGATGATTCAATGTGACCAGCAAAAATTTAGTGAAAAATTTTAACTGATCGACATTAAAAAAGTGCTTAAAAATGCAGACATTTTTTTCAAAACATGCCGAAATTTACGCTCTTCAAAATTTGACCCGGAGTATATTTGAAACTTTAAATAAGCCTCGTCTCTCAAATTTTTTTTTTTAAAAAAATAAATTACACATCTATGTCAAACTGTACGTGAAAGTCTTCTATATCTCATTTTGGTATATATCTTCTACCGTCAGCTGCACTTACAGCCTGAAACTCTGACTTCGGTTCATCTCCATACAAATCGAAATCCGACCTTGAATTAAATCAGAAAAATAACTTCCTTAGTTGTTGTAACAGTGTTCAGGTTTTCATATTTTCAACCAGTTCATTGAAAAACTTACCTTCAATCGTCCTCTTACTTCAGGTCATTCTGCAAATGGTACTTCTATATCTTTGTTTACACAGACAATGTACCAACGATGAAACTCTCCAACAACGTATCACGTTGGCGGAGTTTAAAATCTCCGCTCATATTTTTTTTTTTTTTTTTTAAGGAAAAAAATCAACATCATTCTTTGAAGTTTCTTCAGAATTTGCTTTGCACGGAGAAAATGAATCAAAGAATTTTTTTCTCCGTGCGAGTTTGAATTGAAGTCGAGTTTCAGCGTAGTATAGCTCTGGAAAGCAGATTGGAAATTCGGAGGATTTAATTTGTTTTTCATTCTCTTTGGGCAGGCCGGTCGGCGTTTGGGGGAAAATCGTCGGTTCCCTGTGCGCCATTGCCGGAGTGCTGACCATAGCTCTTCCAGTTCCTGTGATAGTCTCAAATTTCAACTACTTCTACCATCGAGAAACCGACCAGGAAGATATGCAATCTCAAAATTTCAATCATGTTACCAGTTGTCCATATCTTCCTGGTACCTTAGGTGAGTCAGATCTTTCTCTAACCCTGTATCTCCAAAACTATTTTTTTTAATTGATTTTTTATTTACTTGTTGTTTTTAACGCACTGGAAAAAAAACACATTGGATCTAGAGTCCAGACTCTTGAAAACATTGGCAATAAAGGACTCTTGATTCAATCAGATTTAAGCTTAAATCAAAAGGAAATCCGCTCAAATTGAGAGGCTTGGTTCTTGATTTAAGCTTAAATCTGATTGAATCAAGAATATTTTTTCTTGTCAATGTTTTTAAGAGTCTGGAATCTAGATCCAATGTGTTTTTTTTTCCTCCAGTGCGTTATATAGACAAAGTAAACACGCGTTGAGGCACAACAGAAATAAAAGAGGCTTGCCTATATCCCAGACATGGATTATCTTGTGTTGAACACATGAAATTCCCTAATTTACACTAACACTAAAAATAAAAAACTGCGATTATCTTGTGTTGAACACATGAAATTCCCTAATTTACCTATCACTAAAAAACAAAAACTGCGATGGGTCGTTAACGACCCAACTTGCATATATGGGCTAAAGTATGTGAAGTGAAAAGGTCAAAGCCGAAGGGTCAATCGGACTATATTTTGCAATTAGGAACTGCAATTTCTGACTCGGTCTAGGAACAACGTGTATACCAATATTTTACCTTTGCACATGAGTGTCTTTACGGATGCGCCAGAAAATGTAGTTCTCAGTTGCAAAATAATGTCTAATTATAGAGCACGAGGGATCAGCACGGAACACGAACAGTGACCCTAACGCCTGGAAGCAACTATTTGTGCTTTGTGGATGTAGAAGTTACTTACATTTCGTCGCTTCTTTGACGTGAGGGCGTATCTTATTTCCGCGTGAGCCCTGAAAAGCATGGATTTATATGGAGAGCAGGGCTCACGTGGAAATTGAGATACGGCCTTACGTCATAGGAGCGACGATTATATTTAAGGTGTTCCGCCATTCCTTTCTGCTTTGAACCTAATTAGAAATACGGTCACAACTGAAATGATGCGGAAGGCAAAATGTTGTATCTGCTCAAAGCCACCTGAGAGGTTTTATCCCACGATTTTATCCTGCCATTACGCATGCTTTTACAGAGCTACACCCTCCATACTTCTACAATTTGGAACTACAATTCCAGGCTCGGTTTAGTAACAACGTATATACCATCATTTCTCTTATGGGAATGAGTGTTTTTACGGACAAGCCAGAAATTGTAGTACCTAATTGTTGTAAAATGTTGTCCGATTCGTCATCTTCTAAACGAGCTCCACTCGTAAATTGCACCGTTAGAAGTAAGCTGTTGGACATTTATAGCTAAAAGTGTCACAATTGTTCTCCTTATTATCACACGCAGAAATCAGCAGAGTTTTAGGCAGAAATTGTACACCCTACACGATTATACAATTGAATATAGTATCAGTCGAAGTTGCAACTCAAGGGTGTAGTTAAGCGTTTTTCCCGTAGAGAACAGGAAACTTCATTGCAAGTTTCCCTTGAAAATTGATTTATTTACTTCAAAATTCTTGATCATTTTTCTTTAAAAGTTTGGTTAAAAAATGTGTATTTATTTATGTGTAAAATTTGAAATGTGTATCTCGTCTTAAAAAAATCCATCAAAAAACGTGTAGTACTCATTTCAGATATCAGAAACTGAAAAAAACTTTAATCACGTTCAGAGCCCTGCTGTATCTGAATTACGCAGAAGTGTATCAAAGGAGATTGAAATGGACCACTGGACAAGGCACGAAATATAGCCTTCTATTACTCTGTTCCTCACCAAAATTTCACGTGGAATACGATTCGAGCGAAAAAAATTACTGAAATCAACTTGTAACACATGAATGAACGTTTTTAGTTTACATTGTTCACAGGGATGTTCACGTTCACAAAAAAACAAGTCTTCTTGGATCGGAGCTGGCACTACGATGCATTTGGCAGACTCCTTAATCGAGCAATATTTCTGTTCCAAAGTGTTAACAGCGTGCAACAGCTGAGTCAAAGCACCGAATTTGAAGTTGTCATAGTTGATAACGCAGAGGCTGTTAACGTTTAGTGCGCGTGAGGAACGTGAGGTTCCAATTTATAGACATGAAAAATCGTTGAGTATCTTAGTTGAGATAAAATTTCAGTAATTTTCGTTGCTCAAATCGCACTCTACGAGAGATTTTGCTCAAGAGACACGTATCAGATTGCCTGAATTCGTAACTTGTCCACTGGTCCGTTGGAAACCTAAGATTCGCCTGCAATTTGCCGGCTATGCAAAATGACTGTCGTGACGCACGAATAGTGGTATCACAACTTCTCATGAAGATTACACAGTGTGTTGAAGGCGCTCCTCTTTGTTCTACTTCGGTGGCCCTTTTTAGCGGTTATAACCCCGAATGATGGGATGGGCCACCTGCCACCCGCATCAACTGAATCTTTTTATAAGAGTTTACAGGAGAAGAAACAAGGGGGATAAACGCTAACAACAGGAAAAACGAGAAAACCGGGAATAACGGGGAATAACGGGAATAACGGGGAAAACGGGAATAACGGGGAAAACGAGAATAACTGGGAAAACGGGAATAACGGGAAAAACGGGAAAACCGGGCAAAACTGTAAAAACGGGAAACAAGGCTAAAATACAACACTAAAAATCCGAGACGTTTCAACTCAAACCTGAGTCATTTTCAGTCGGAAAATAAATTAAAAATTAAAAGATATCGAAGAAAAAGGTTTTTTCTTTTTTCTTTTTTTTTTTGATGGCGTTATTCGGCTGTATGGTACCGTCGAATAAAACGTTATTCGGCGGCACCGTACCTTAACTAGTATCGCTAAGGTGCCTTTACGGGATGGCTTTTTAACCGCTAACCGGAAAAAAATATTCAGCGGTACCGTACTGCCGAATAACCACTTCGTTATTTTTTTCTTCGATATTTTTTAATTTTCTATTTATTTTCCGACTGAAGATGACTGAGTTTTGAATCGAAACGTCTTGGATTTTTAGTGTTGTATTTTAGCCTTGTTTCCTGTTTTTCCTGTTTTTACCGTTTAATAAAAAGATTAAGTTGATGCGGGTGCCAGGTGACCCATCATTCGGAGTTATAACCGCCAGAAAGGGCCACTGAAGTAGAACAAAGAGGAGCGCCTTCAACACACCGTGTAATCTTTATGCGAAGTTGTGATACCACTATTCGTGCGTCAAGACAGTCATTTTGCATAGCCGGCAAATTGCAGGCGTTTGGTTTCCAACGGACCAGTGGACGAACGTCTCGGATTTTTAGTGTTGTATTCCGGCCTTGTTTCCTATCCTTCCCCTTGTTTTGTTTCTGTTATCACTGTCCCGGCTTCTTCCTGAAAAATTGTATCAATAAGAATTCACCTGATTCAACCGATATCGATCCACTGATTTTGCTGATTGCAGGTCAACATATGAAAAAGAGTTCGCCCTCTTCGTCAACTTCAGATATTATGGAGCTTGAAGAAGGCCTTCTTCTTGGTGGTGGTAAGGAGGTGAAAAACTTGAATTGCAATCCAAGGCTGCTTAATCATAATGCTAGCGTAATGGAGACTGATGTTTGACTAGCCGGTGAGTATTGACGCCATTTAAAGCGGGTTTTTTCAGCCTGTTCCTCAAAATGGGTCTGTCACAATCATTATTTAGACCCAAAAAAGGGCGTTGTTTTTTTTAGGAAATTTATTCAAAAATCATAATCAGTCCTTTTTTTGAATATTAAATTTACTCGATTTTGACAATGGAGTGCATCATCATTGATAGTGAACATTTTCCAGACGGTAAGGAATTATTCATTCTAAAATGGAGAATTTGCAAGTGTCTGAAATTTAATGAATTCCGTGTTTGAATGGACGCTACCAAGTAAGTGACCTGAACACGAGGATACCCTTGGTTCATACATTGAACAAAATTATTGGAGGAGATATGACAAACTTATCTAATCTGCCAAAATACATGCGTTTAAATGGGAAATGCTGCTAGATGACGTTACTTGGTGGCGCATTTTCTCACCTTTAAATCTATTTTCATACTATTTCCCATAGCCGAAAAAAATTTAAAAAATACAGCAAAATCAGCTTTTGGCACTTTTAGATAAAGCATTAAAACATTTGCGTGCAAATTCTCCAAGAACCAATACGTCAATTCAAGTGAGAAGATCCTTCTATGTGCCAAGGCATTTGACAAAATGACTGATTTACGTTAATTATCTCTAAATTTCAAATGGACCGCGTTAAACAGAAAGGAACCAAGCCACATCAGCTATTGCCAAATTTAATTGGGCAATTTAATGTTTAACATGAAAATGCGGATTTCCGTGAGAATTTACGTGAAAAATAGTTTGAAGAAAATTCCTTAAACATTTCGAAGGAATCCGAACAAACGTTTTCTCGTAAAAAAATTAATTGCCCGGTTAAATTTGGCAATTGCTGATGTGGCTTGGTTCCTTTCTGTTAAACTCGGTCCAAATAGATGTATTCATACCTCTCTCAGAAATGATTTTTCCTGGAAATAAATTCGGGCACGTTCGAATTTTCATGCAGCGTTTTGCCTCGGCACAGTAGTGTTCATTTAAAGCTAATATAATTATTTGCCGGGTGGAGAGGAGACTGACCCGTCCGTGCTCTGCTAATGACAGATGCGCCCTTTTCATCAAAGCGCTCTATCGCCTCCGTAGAGCGTGGATACCTGTGTAGAATACACATTGCGCGAGAGAATTGAACATTTTCGCTTCCATTTTATGTTGAGGGTTTCCTTTGACCCATCATGATGGAAGGCGTGAATCCATTTTAAGTTTAATTTTATATCCAGTCCATTTTTTTCTTAAATCGTCACTTTAAAGTTCAATCAAAAATGTCGATCGCCAAAGAGCAGAACCACGTAGCACCGAATGCGACGTTGCAGCCTTTCTGTCATACTTCATTTTTTTTTTCGGGGAAGTAGTCAACGCAATTTCTCCGAAACTTCCTTGATTTTTCCTCTCTGTCGGTTGAGTATACTTTCTATATTTCAAGCTATAAAGTTGGTTTTTTTCTCCTCGAAAAAATAATGTAGGAATGGAAAGTTTGGAGCATCGGAACGGAGATATGTGGTTTCGCACTTTCGTTTGCGCGTATTCATTATGAAACTAACAAGATAAATCTTACTTAATAAAGGCATTAAAATATTTCGAGGAATGTTTCTAACATCCTTTTTTTCTCCTAAATTTATGATTGGCGCCTTCAAACCTAACAGGGATACTTCACGCATTGCGCAATGCGTGCAGTATCCCTATTACGTTTGTAGGCGCCAGCGCGCGTGAAGATGAATGAAATCAACAAAACATTTACTGCCTAGATTACACGCTCAGAAATTTTAATAATATCAGATGTTTAACACCCATAACATTTCCGATTCCGATGAAATACGTGATACAACTATTCCAACTTCTAAGTAGCTAGCATTGCACAGAAATGAAGGCATTTGGTTCGTGAGCAACGTAACGTCATTTTATTACCACTCACATCTTGCCGCGGCGTGTTTAGAATATTCTCGTGCTGTGAAACTCGTCAGATTTTCGGGTTTTCCTGATTGAAAGCTCGAATGAAGATTTTTAGTCGATCCGATGCACAGCACATAAAGTAATGTCATTTTACTACATTGCTATTTGTACAGCTGAAGGATTGGCTCAGGGTGAAGATCAGAGATGCAAAATGAAATTTCCCATGAAATTTTGTTTTGCTGAAACGAGTATTTTCACTTTCTATGAAATTTCAACGATTTTTTAGGGGCCTCGCTTACAATCAACAACATTTATCTGAGAATTTGTAAAGATACTTCGTTTGGCTCGTGTTTTTTTTTTTTAAAAAAAAAATCAAAAGTAATATTTTACCGTTTTTAAGCGTTCTATGGCATACTGAGTCCATTGCATTCCGTTGTCATATTTCCATATCACAGAGACTATCGCGGTAACGTTTAGTGTCCTATTTAACTCAAGTCGATTATTGCTTTTTCCATGAGCGGTAAGTTTGAAATTATTCATCAAAAAACGTTATTATCTTGGTTCGTAGTTACTTTCAGAAATTTTCGTTCCCCGAATCTTGCTGTAGGTAAAATTTTGGTCAAGAAACATGCATCAAAATTCTTCAATTTGTACCTTGTCTATTGGTTCATTGTCCCTGTCTTTATCTCGTCAAGTCTCGCGTTCTTTCAACGCTAGATGGGTAAGCATTTGGCACTTTTGACTTAAGTAACGTCATGATAATCGCAAGAACTTTTTTCTCGTCGATTGTACTCAGCGCTGAACCACAAAGCGCATTCTTGTCCGTAACTTTTATGTGTAACGGACACATTTGACACCTTTGCAGTCCGCACTCAAAAGCGTTGGATTACGAGCGAGAAACAGGGAGTGCCTTCAATCCTGTGACTAGGCAATGTTAGCTACCTAGAAGTTAAAATAATTGTATCTCAAATTGTATATGCCGGGCGCAACGTGCAGTTATGAAAGAATACGCAATACGTCTACAAATCCACTGGTTCAAGTCACGCGCAACGTATATTCACCGTGAAAAGACTCCATGCCCACACTCAGAGATGAAATGCACTCCAAAAAGTACACTCCAACAGTTGCGTATTGTTCAATTCCATCTGATCTCTTGGCGTCCTCGCATCTTGATAACACTGGAAAAAAACACACATTGGATATAGAATCGAGACTCTTAAAAACATCGACAAGAAAAAATACTCATGATTCAATCCGATTTAAGCTTAAATCAAGAACCGAGCCTCTTAATCTGAGCGGATTTCCTTTTGATTTGAGCTTAAATCGGATTGAATTAAGAGTCCTTTTTCTTGTCAATGTTTTCATGAGTCTGGACTCTAGATCCAATGTGTTTTTTTTTTTTTTCCAGTGAACCATTTGCCTCTCATCCTCCATGTTTTTTCTCCAGACGATCCAGTGGCGTGGCGTGAGTTGCGATGTATCGATTGTTATGGCATTTAAACCTATGGAAAAGGATCGATAAACAAGGCGTTCTCAGCGGACACCTTAATAATCGATTCTTTACCATACGTTTAAATGGCATAACAATCGGTACATCGCAATTCGCGCCGCGCCACTGACATGCTCTCGACATCGTGAGCTTTCGTGTGAACCTCGGCCCAATGATTGAATTAACTGCCTAAAAACAGGCGAGGGAAGGCGCAAACACACAGAAAATTGAACGACCACCACTCACTTCATAAAATAAAATAAAACACTGCCTAAAAAAATTCACAATGTAAGCAAGGAAATTGCGTATTTTTCAGCTTTCCGTCTCACAAAGGGACTACATTTTGCAATTTGGAACTATAAATTCTAGCCCGGTTTAAAAACAACGTATGTGCCATTAGTTTCCCGATGCACATATGTATTTTGAAATAAGTACGCATTGAAACCTTGGCAACATGAGCACATTGTCAGTTCACCGAAACAGCTGTTGTTGTGGAGTATTCACTCAACTGCTTGTCCTCAGATTTAACAATTTTTATTCAAGTTCGGAGTAGAGTTCCTTTATACTGAGAGTTAGGACAACGTGAATCCATTTCTGATTGGTTCCGGGTTCCCGTATTGTAGGCTCCACAGTGTCACAAACGGGAATAAAGGTTACATTTTCACCAATTGCAAAGATCATCTGGGATGGACTGGGGAATCACGGATTCGGCAAAGAACAAACGGAATGAGAGAAGGAACGGAGAAAGGAATTTGAGAATGGGCCGATCAAAGACGACGGAAAACTTTCAATTTTTGTAATCTTTATTCCCGTTTGTGACTCCATGAGGGTGGGGGTTGTCTCAAATCTCAGTATAAGGGGACTCTAGTTCGGAGGGGGGCGTCATTTTCATGAGGGTTTTAGGGCTCCCTAACAAACTGGTAAAAATTTTAAAAAAATTATAAGAAATCTTTAGAAACTTTTAAAAAACCAACTTAAAAGCACTCACTTGCATAAAATTGTAATTTTAAGTAATTTTTCGTAATTTTAAGTTTTTTAAGATTTCTTGTAATTTTTTCAAATTTTTACCAATTCAACGACTCGTGTAGTGGTTTAAACTCCTGTGTAACATTTTCTCATCCCTCGCAAACACCTGGCAAATGATGAGGGTTGAAAAATCTGGTGAAGTACCTACGATGCCATTTATAGACCGAGGCCCCACCACTGCAGCCGAAATGCAGTCGTAAACATCCTCGATTTCGGAGGATCCATTTTTAAGCGTGGCTATGGCCCTAACCCCGCGACAGCGTTGCATAATAGATATCCGGGTGTGACGTCAGCTGATAGGGGTTAAAAATCTGGCGAAGTACCTACGATGCAATTTATAGACCGAGGCCCCACCACTGCAGCCGAAACGCAGTCGTAAACATCCTAGATTTCGGAGGATCCATTTTTAAGCGTGGCTATGGCCCTAACCCCGCGACAGCGTTGCATAATGGATATCCGGGTGTGACGTCATCCGTGGGAGGGGGGAGGGCGCTCGATAGAAGAATCCGGGAGGGGCGCACGGAGAGGGGAGGGGAGGGGGAGCCAGGAGTGCAGGTATCTGTGCCGGCTGCTCCGGGGAGTCGGGGGCACTGCAGCTGGATGCCTGGCCCCCTTCGCCCCGTTCAGCGCCCCCCTCGCCCCCCTCGCCCCCTCCTCCCTCCCCCTCCCGCTCCAGCTATCGATCCCAGGGAGTAGTGTGGAGCGTGTCTGGCGCACCAGGACCGCGGCTCGGCCCGGCAGTGCCCGCGACCTGCGGGAGGGGCGCCCACTGCGCCCATTGTGCCCACCGCGCCCACCGGGCATCAAGGTTAGCCGGCTCCGACCGTCCTTCCATCCGTCAAAGCGCCACGTCCCTCACGGCGGCCAAGACCCCTGGTAAAAATGGAGATGTTGCATGTGTGAGGGATTTGCGATTTGACCATGGATTCTTATGTAAAAGTTCGCGAGAAACACAATGGTGCCACTGGTTTTCTCTGAAATCATCTCCCAAGCCCAAAAAAAGCTCTCAAAGTGAGGCCAAAATGGAGGGGATATCCCGCCCTACCCTGAGAGTCCACCTCTACATCAAAACAAACTCTCCATGCAAAGATAGGGAGCAAATACATTGACAGGGCTGCCACTTAATTTGAGGACTCCAAAACTGAAAACACGGCAACCCTGCTAATGTATTTGCTCCCTATCTTTGCATAAAGAGTTTGTTTTGATGTAGAGGTGGACTCTCAGGGTAGGGCGGGATATCCCCTCCATTTTGGCCCCACTTTGAGAGCTTTTTTTGGGCTTGGGAGATGATTTCAGAGAAAACCGGTGGCACCATCGTGTTTCTCGCCAACTTTTACATAAGAATCAATAGTCAAATCGCAAATCCCTCACACATGCAACATCTCCATTGGCAGTAGAATCTGTGTATCAAAATACCATAGACCCAAAGCCGGCTGTAAGATTTTCAATAGCTGGGTCACTAAACCATGAACGAATTTTGGCTTGCGAATGTTGTTTTCTGAAGGAAAATGACGCGTAGAACACGATGCGCACATTAAAAACGCGAACAAGTAACTCAATAACCGAGAAATGCGCAGTTCAAATCGCTCAACTTATACGCAAATTTAAAACGCCCCGGTTTCGCGCCGCACCGGATGATGTCATCCGGCACCAATCAGAAGCGGGCACGGGGTTCCACTACGTCCGTCAAATGTCTATCTACTCTTCGTATATAAGAACAATACTAAAGACGAAATTATATCTTTTGAATTCAAGACTCGAATCTCATTCACATGTTTGCTGTAATAAACAAGCAACAATTCCACATTGAAATACGTTTTATTTTGACAAACATCAGAGGAAAATGAGAGAAGATTGCGATATGACTACCGCAGTACATCAACACCGTCAGTTTCGTGCCATTCGGGTGCGTTTGAAATGTCTTGCAGTTTTTAGATTTTTCTAAAGCGGTTTTCTCCGCAATTTCGGCTCCATAAAAATGCGGAAAAATCACCACGTCATCCATTCACATAGTACATTAAGAATATTCAATAAAATAAACAAGGTTTAGTGACCCATTTCTTTTATAGCCTTTTATAGCCGATGGCGATTGAGCAACAGCCAGGCGATGAAGTGTATGCTAAATGTTACTTATAACGGATGCTAGGACCGTTTTTGGATTATACCGCTCTATGTTTGGGCCGTAGTATCTTGATTTATTTTGCGCCGAAAACTCTGTATTTTTGAAGAATGCCTGCCATTCCTAATATGTTGGAGCACCTTCAATTCGTATGATACTGTGCAATACCTCTGGTGTGAAATAGTTGCTTCAAGGGGCCATGGCACGATGCGGCGCGGCGGGCGGGTAGCCAGCGCGAAAAGCGCCTTAGCGCCTACAAACCTAACAGGGATACTTCACGCATTGCGCCATGCGTGAAGTATCCCTGTTAGGTTTGTAGGCGCTGGTGCGCGCTTATCGCTGGCAGCACGCCGCTACGCTGTGTTAGGCTCCAATATAATCTTGCGGAGTCAGCGTTTTTCAACTCATGATTTTGAAACGTTGGCACATCCTGTATGGATTATTCTCATTTTAACTGATGAAAAAAAAATATGTATTAAAGGCAAATATAATCTGTGTTTTGTGAATATTATCGTGGTTCCGTATCAAACTTAATGATTTCTAAAGCACACAAATTTCTACACAATCTCTTATAGCCTTTTATAGCCGATGGCGATAAAGTGTAAATCCCGGCGATAGGAACTATAGCCCGGCTGCATAGTTTTTTATCGCTTCGTATAGCTCGGCTATATGATTTGCTCCGTTTTCTACAGCCAGCTACATGATTTTCTATTGCCTTCTCTGGCCGGCTATAAGAATTCCTATGGTATTTTGAAACGCAGCTCAATCGCCAATTTTTACCAGGGACGTTGTCTTTGAGTCCGCTTATTGGGAATGGAACACCTACTCGGAGAAAAAGCTTGGTGCATGGGACCCAGAGTTGAGGTCATATGGATCTCTGAAGTTTTATGATCACGCATCAGGAAACTTGAGGTCGAGCTGCCGAAGTTCGGGTCAGACATCGATGCACTTTGGTATGTACCGGAGTACTTCAGATGTGTGACCCAAACCCTTCGGTATATATCGGAGTACTTCAGATGTCTGGCCCAAACTTCGGCAGCTGGACCTCAAGTTTTTAGGTACGTGATCCGAAAACTTCAGAGATCCATATGACCTCAACTTCGGATCCCGCGCACGAAGTTTTTTTCTCCGTGTGTAAAAAAAGAGTACAGACATGTCGGTAATACTGCCGTGCAACGCGAAAACGCCGTAAACGCCATTTTAAAATTTTTGGAGACAACGTATCATAGCAGAGAAACTTGTGTACCTTGGGAAATTTTTTTTACAGAATCCTTTCGCAAATGCTGTGAAGAACTTAACCTGAAAATTTGAGGTGCCTTCCAATTTTTTTAAATAATTTTCTTCGCAATTTCACCTATAGTTCCTTAAAATTTCCAGGAAAAATATTCATAACTTTCTTCAAAAATGAACATTTTATCGAAGGAAATTGGGGAACCCTCGAATGTTGATACGGTGTTCTTCCTTAGCGCGGCAGGAAGGAATCATGCTCGACGATTACGTTGTTTTTCGAGAAAAGAATGGGATCATTGATGGTATTTAAATGGTTAATGGTAATGGTTTTAATGGTTTATTTGATGGTTTTGATTGAATTAAATGGTATTTTTCCGATTTCTGTTGGCAGTTTTACGTATATGCTGTCGTGGCCTTGCTGTTGTATACATGAGCATCTGATGTCCATGCTGTGATGCTCCTGTGCTGATGTGTTGCTGTGTGTGGTCATGCCATGTATTTTTATTTTTTTTATCCCATGGCCTTGACCAGATGATGCCCTCCACCATACATGTGAGTCCACTGCTGCTCCTTAATAAAATCATTTGCTTCAACTAACATTTCGCCTAGTCAACACCCCTAAGTTATGACAAACAAATTTCTTTTCCTTTTTTTATTGTTTTTATATTTCTATGTACGTGTACATAAATAGTTTTATACCTAGCTTGGCCTCGGGATTTCAGTGAATTCAACCATGTCATATCCATGCTCCCGCTTTTTTCATTTTCGTTCCTCGAAATCTTTTTGTCGTTTTAAACAAGGAGGAAGAGATTCATAAACCTATGCAAAATCCGAGCACACATTTGACATCACCGAGTAAGAGTTATACTTATAGTTTAGCGCTTTGAAAAAGCCGTCGTCTCCTAAAGCACTAAATGTCCGGGTACGATTTTCCTCAAATCGCTCAATCAAGTTAGATCGTTTCTACTTTGTGATACCCGTCTCACCATAACAAGCACAAGAGCGAAAAGCTAATACTGGTAGCTTAAAGTAAAAAAATACGGAAATACAAGTTGCACATATAAATGTTTAGAAAAAAGTCACACCGAAGTCGGAACAAAAGTATGTAAATTTGAATCGTGTGGCGTAATTTTAAGGTGATACGAAGATCTCTGATTAGCTGGCGGTTTTCGCCATCTAACTGTCAGCTGATGCTAAAATTTTCAGCCCATTTTGGAAATAACATGGATCTTTTCCGTAGTGGAGTGACTCGAAAATGATGGGGGAAAAAATTACCAAAGAAAAATTTGTGTTTAGTCTCCTTCGAAGGTGGAAACTTCGTTGAAGATCCTCAAAGTATTGGGCATAGTGACAAGGAGGTGACGAGGTAACCGATGAATTCATCTATAGGCCACTCTCGCAGTTTAGAGATTCAAGAATATATTCCTCATGCGCGCTGGACAAAAGTGAGACTTGCCATCCATGAATCCCCTCAGTAAATTGCCTAAAGTCGATTTTTGAATTTTTGAATTGTACAACACATAAAAAAAAGAAAAAAAATCTGGCTTTGTTGCCCATAATACCACCTTTGAGTCTTACAAGGCTGAATGATGCTCGGATTTTAGGTAAATAGTTAATCCAAAAAAATAACTCTGAAGCATAAAGCGTTGAAACTAAACTACTCCTTTTAATGGTACTTTCGTTTTATGTTTCACAAACTTAAATAACACTGTTTTTTCTCTGCAGTTGATTTGTGGGTAAACTTCCGGAAGATTTGGTGCTACGTTAAGATTAGTCATATTTTAAAGGATTTATTAGTTTCTATTCGGGAGTTCACTCTGTGTATCAACCATCTGAACACAAAACTGTAATTTTTTTCCACTGGAAAAAAATTCGCTTGGATCTAGAGTCTTGACTCTTAAAAACATTGACAAGAAAAAATACTCTTGATTCAATCCGATTTTTCCTTGAATCGAGAAGCTGAGCCTCTTGATTTAGGCGGATTTCCTTTTGATTCAAGGAGAAAATCTAATTAAATCAAGAGTATTTTTTCTTTTCAATGTTTTTAAGAGTCTGAACTCTGGATCCAAGCGACTTTTTTTCCAGTGTCGGCTTTTTGTCACTGTTGTAATAAGAAAAATTAGCATATCAAATATGTTTTCCTTTCCTTTTCCGTATTTGATTTTGATTTCAGCTTACCGATTCGGTCGGTAACTTAAGAAATTAAGACGCCTGCACTGTTCCGTCAAAATTGAATTTTCTTCGAATGAATCAAGCTTTTTTTCTCCAGCTGATATTAAGTCATAACTAGAGAATTACTTAACCTATTTTATAAATCATTATCTTACTCATTCATAACCTCGGCGGAATCTTTCGAAGCGTGGTAATTTACCACTATTTATTTTTCATAGTGGCGGAATACTTGTGCATGATTTTATTGTTCTCCTTTGATTAAGCAATTAAACTGAAAAAAAAAATTCACTGAAATCCTCCGACCAAAATAAATTGTAATAAATAAATAAACTAGTTATCAAATTGAAAGTTATTAAGTTTTGTATTGGAAATGATTTAATATTAGTTAGGTGATTTTATAAATTATTAGTTTATTTAAATTAACAAATTAACCAATTATCATTTTGTTACATTGAAAGTGAGCTGATCTTTTTAGTGAATGCGGCATTCCTCTTTTCTTCACCTTTAAGAAATGAATTATTTAGTACATGCCATTGATTTCCTAATCTCATTGGTTTAAGTTAATCAATTATGCTCTGGTTTTTTCCCCCTTTAGAGGCTCTTTCTCTGTCTTTCTTTCCTCCTTCTTTCCCTGTCTTCTCATTTTGATGCGTCAGTCCTTTTTCAGACATTGCTCAGTCAATTCTAGTACTTTTGGCAACCCTACACAATACTGAGCCACCACATTTTACGCGTCGATCCCTTTAAGAGGCGATGCTTGCACTTTGAAAATTGTTTTTAAATTGATCCATCCTTTTTATTCCATTAAAAATATCGATTCTGAATATCGATCTAGAATCGATTGTTTTATATTCATTGAAATGGACAAAACCTAGTGTGCGCCAACTTGAAAGAATCGTCTTTCATCCAAATGCTGCAGGGAGTCCAATTTTTTTTGTAAGTACCGAACAAGCCCCATGATATGTGCGTTATGAAGCAGCAAAAAAATCAATCATCTTTTCTTTTACCAATTTCAATATGAATCCCTGCATTTTCAGATTTTTGTTTTTCAGGCAATAGGTAAAAAAATCTGGAAGTTTGTAGCTCTTTTTTTCCTCGTAAGATCTAAGTATTTTTATTTTCGTTTTCATTTTTGAAGCTAAGAATATGACAATCTCACTCTATTTTTTATTAATTCGCTTTGTCCTGTCATTTTATCCGTCCATTCTCCCAGCTCATCATAATTCCCCTCTCATCCGTCATTAAATTCATAGACAAACGTCAATTAAGAAATGCCCCGGGAAGTCTCATGGTGTCATCTTTCTCAAATTCATCTCCTTATATTTTAAAGCGATTGCTAAACTAAACAACTTAGTAAATTTACTGTGGTGCCTCAAAATTTCCAATTATGTTTTCTCATATTTGGAAAAACTAAACAAATCTTCTTCCGATCTTCTGTCAATGTATTTGAGCGACTGAAGAAATCCACAGGATATTAAAAATACGGATAAAAAGGGGAAATAATGGTTAATTTTCTTTCAAAATAATAAAACATCAACAAAAATTTGCAACACTGTAATCGGATGTACTCATTAGCCATGCATATGTAAAGCTCAGAATTCCATCAAGTGGCAAAATAGGAATTGATTCCTCTAGCTTTTAGAAGTGAGGAGTGTCAGTTCATGACTTAAACCACATACGCATTTCTTAAAAATATTGTATGTTGAAAATGTTTTTAATTCATCTCTATCGAGCCAAGCCGCCATATTTTGTCTCGCAACGCACCTGAATCGCAGCTCTTTTAACTTCAACCGGGGCTGAAAATTTTCAAGTTTTTTCTTTTCCTCCCCTTTTTCATTACTTTAAATATCATATCTTGTCCTTCCTTTTCTTTTTTCTTCCTCATTCATACGTAGCGATAGTGTACCTAGGGGCACAATCTCTTGATTAGGTGTTCAAAATTCTCGCTCAAAATTAATTTATCGATTCGTCATTTTTATTTTTGCACTGAGAACATTTTCAGCGTAACTGTTTTCAGTATCACGAGACCAAAACAGAGAACGATACCTTAAAATCTAATCGATTTAAAGCGACAGATTTTCTTGATTAAAACGAGGTTTGATCAGTTTTTTTCACACGTCGCAAACTTAGGAGCGTATATGAGGACTAATCTGTAACAATAGCGGATGTGAAAAATTACCTTTTCGAAACACGCTTAAAAAACTGTTTTGTTCACACAAAAATTTAATATTTTTGGCTCTGGCATAATGTACCTACGGAAGATCACATCGGATGTATCTCGAAGATCACATCTCAAGTATTTTTTCAAAATTTTCTCGATGCCAAAACAGTTTTTAGAATGTGTTTCGAAAAGGTAATTTTTCACATCCGCTATTGTTACAGATAAGTCCTCATATGTGTACAACTGATTTGTTCTTTCTTCGATAGCTATCCTTGGTCTCTTTCTTCATAAATAAATAAACGACTGGCAATGAGCCGCAGGCGCAAAATGTTTAAAACGTCCATGGTTCAGTCAAAAGGTCAGCTCGCTTTACAATGTTAATCCTAGATCTTTGCATGAGCTTTGTGGAAGTGGTGGTGTCGAGACATTATAGTTAGATCAGCGTCTGCGCTTGCACGTGCAAAGGACTTTGGTAAAATGTACTGTTCTGCTAGCTCATAAACAAAACACCAATCTCGATTTATTTTCTTTGTTTACTCACGTGCCATAAAACTGTGTGACTAAAATAGCCCAACAGAAATTCTCAGTCTTCTGTAAACCTAAGCACCGCCGAAGACTTTTTTGTATCGCTTTTTCTCCGAGTCCCAGTGGCGTGGCGTGAATTGCGATATATCGATTGTTATGTAATTTAAACCTATGGTAAAGAATCGATTATCAAGGCGTTCGCTGCGAACACCCTGTTAATCGATCCTTTTCCATAGGTTTAAATGACAGATCAATCGATATATCGCAAAGCACGCCGCGCCACTGCTGAGCCCTCTATTTTACCAGGAAGATAAATACTTTTTGATGTCTTTAGAATTCAACACCAGTGGCGTGGCGTGCTTTGCGATATGGACGTATTTCTGTCAATCGGAACTATGTGCATTAAGACATGAGTCCTGAGACCGATAAGAACATATGCATAACAGGGCTCACGTCATAATGCACGTAGTTCTGTTTGACAGAAATACGTCCATATATCGATTGTTATGCCATTTAAACACATGGAAAATGATCGATGAACAGGGTGTTCGCAGTCAACACCTTGATAATCGATCCCATACCATAGGTTTAAATGGCATAACAATCGATACATCGCAATTCACGCCACGCCACTGTTCAACACCCGCTCGAGACAGCTACGTCAAATGAGCATATTTATGCTGAAAGGAACTGC